AAACGATTTTTGTATAACGTTGTGGATGTTATTGTTACGGTATGTCTGAATGTCAATAAATATAAAAGGATAGGAAAAAAAATCGTTGATATTAGCTCTCGTCAATGAAAATTAAAAATATATTCATCAGTAAGCGAACAGATTGTCAAATAATATTTACCAAGGCGTAACTACGCTTAATGGTAATTATCTTCTTAATACAAATTATAATAAGATCATTTCCTGGGAGTTGTAAACAAATTAGAATTAAAATGTTGCTTGCATCACCATTATCCCTCCCTAGCACAGTACTGCAAGGCCACTATTTTAAAATTATGAGGCGTTTGGAACTAGTGACAAACATGCTAAACCCTAGTTTTGAGATAATCGCGTCTAAATTGACATTTTAGATAAAAATAAGTACAAAAATGGAATATATGACACTCACTTGCCAAGATACTTTAATGAGTTGGTGATACGCGCACTGTCCTCCCTCAGGTTCCAACGAGCGTATCTCATAGTTAGTCTATCACAAAAGTTTCTTATGTCAGCCATTGAAGAGGAAAATCCAAGATTGAACTCAATAACAATATCTCGTGACAGTAATCACTGGAAACTGGCTCGTGACCACTGTGGTTTGCCTCGATCCAATCGTAGTACAAAACGTAAAGGGCATTAACATTGAGGTTAGTTGCTAGGTATTTTGTATTGGGACTTTTTGCCCTGCTACAGTGATTCAACACTGCTGGACTACTTTTAATGTGCTCTTTTACCACTTGTCGCTTCTCGCCCCTGATCTTCCTCACATTAGGGTTTGTACCCTGCTTATTGCCCAAGATAGTCCTCACACGTCTTTCAGATATACTGTGGATGCTGTAAAAAGCTTTACGGCAAACACTATAAGTGATATCACCAAACACAACCGACATGGTGGGAGACCCCGACCCTTGAGGCGTGGCTTTATCACTCCAGCCTTGGCGAGATTACCAAGGAAGGCATTCTGTTTGGCGTAGTTACCTGTGGCCCAGAATTCACTAAAAATGTCCTTAATACGCTCGTAACCCACTTTATCAAAACATCCACACTTGCTGGCTATTTGCCTGTTGGGAACACCTTTCTTGGTAGCACACCCACGTAGCTAACACTGACATTACGTTTCGACTTTGCAATAGTGGCTCTCGGCAAAGACAAGTCACGACTTCTCTTTCTAGGACGCCCACGTCCTTCACCAACACCGTTACTCTCTGACGAACCCATTGTCACTAAATCTATATAGCTAAAAAAAAAAGAGGCGTCTTCTTGCCGTTTTGTACCCCAACAATAAACTGGATGTTGCAGAGATCAGAGTGGCCCACGGTCATTGGCGCACTCGATAGGCTTGGTTGGCGTATTCGTTTAAGCAGTTTGTCATTGACGCCAAATAGTTGTGGGCGGAGCTGTGCCACGTCGTCTCGAACCTATTTTTAGTAACATCGGCGAATGACCAACGGTGCTATTGACGTCGGTAGCGCTATTGACGTCGGTAGCATCCCAGTATGTCTACTAGCATTTTGTCCACTTCCTCTTAGGTCATCATTAACTGACCTCTGCCTTCCTTATAATGTTGCCTTGGTGATGTTCGTTTTTTTCCCGTAACTCAGAGATATATCACCAACACAATAAATTCCGTTGAAATTGTCACAATTAATATGAATTCTTTGTGACTGCCTAAGAAACACTGAGCGTCGTACAATACTCCTCAACTTTTATGACCTTAATACTGACAATTCATAATTCCTCCTATTCTGTAATTACGTTAATTGGTTTACAATTACGCAGCAAAACAGTATTACTGTAAAGTATCACTAAAATTTAAAATAAAACAGCTAGTGAAAAGAAAGGTTGGCCGAGCGACAGGTGTGAATGGTAGTTTCTCTCTGTGGCAATAGATGGCGTGGGCCTCGCCAACTGAGCCAAGCCGCGTCCCGCGTTCCACCACTAGCCCAGAGCATGGCAGGACTGCTAGTGTCAATACTAAGTCTACTGCAAGTGTCAATACTAGTCTACTGTAAGTGCTGAGGTAAAAATAATAATAATAATTTGATCATGGGTCAGAGTGAAAGAGCATCAACTGAATTACTGCAGAAGTTAAGAGGGACGAGTTGTAGCAGTTTTAAATTGCAGCAGTACTACCATAGCTACGAGCATTTAGGGCAAGGATATCCAATGCTTTCTAGTTGCAATAAGTATAATGTATAAAATATTATGACATGAAAATGTTAGTTAAGAATATGCAGCTGTGTTAATACAGAACAGATCATATTAGGGAGGTTACAACAGTGGAACAGAAGCCAAGCGATGAAGGGGAGGAGGGGGTTTACAGGAAAGAGCGATAATTAGTAGTTCTTAGAATGACGATATGTGGCAAATTCAGTGATAAATAAACGAGTATCGAAAGAGAAGTTATCGATATGAATGTAATATAACACAAATGATTTCAACACGGTAATTCCAGTCTTTCAACTAATGATAATGGTAGGGATGTGTAGTGAGTGGGGTAGGCAGCTTCAGGCTACTGTAGCTTAGAGAAAGGTTAGCTGGTACTTGTGGTTGCTAAGCGGGTTAAATATACACATTATCAGAATGAATGATAACTGTTTCTATGAGAAGATAATAGGCGCTCCGCATTACAAGGGGGTGAAGCGCCAAATATAAAAAGAGGAGATAAACGCATTTAAAGTTTTTCGAAGTTCAACCAAAACTTCGTGGGTTTTTTAAGCTAGAGGGTTATTTTTTTTCGTGCAGCTCAATCCATCTCCAAGCGAACAGTGAAAACTGAAGTTAGTAATGTGAATAGTTATTATTTTATCGCGAGTGAAATGGATATCAATTCACTGGAGTCGGTGCAGCGAAGAATGACGAAAATTATTCCAGGACTTAGAAACCTTTCATATCAAGATTAATTAAAGAAACTAAACTTGCATTCTCTAGAAAGACGAAGAATGCTGAGAGATATGATATAAGTATTTAAGTGGGTGAAAGGAATCAATAAAGGAGATATAGATAAATTTCTTATAATATCCGAGCAGGATAGGACTAGTAGCAACGGATTTAAGTTGGATAAGTTTCGGTTTAGGAGGAAGATAGGAAGAAACTGGTACACAAATAGGGTGGTAGACGAGTGGAACAAGCTTAGCAACTTTGTAGTAAGTGCTGGGACACTGGAAAGTTTTAAAAGGAGGCTAGTAGATTCATGGACGATAGGGGGTGGTTGTAACAATAATCGCGTTTTTCTGCAAAATTGTCTTATTATTGTGGGATAATACTGTAAATAAGTTAATGATCACCAAAAACAACACTCGTTTTACAAGCGCTTTTGTGTAATTCACATCTTCAGGGGTGAGTACAGACTAAAGAGAAGCACAAAACAAGGTGTATATATACAGAGGAAGGTGAGATCAGGTCCACAATGGCAAAAATCTTGTAACTAGACTTAAACAACATAAATATAGTGTTAGGACAGGCCAGGAATCCAATGCTCTGTTTGTTCATTTGAGGGATAACAAGCATCGCATTGACTGGGCTAATGCCTCCTCAATATTACCTTGTAATTCAATTGATAGTAGGAACATCATAGAATCTAGTCTCATTAAACATACAGAAGCATTCAACATGAATTTGAGTAACGGCATGTACAAACTGGACAATTTTGTAATTAAGAAGATTTGTAACCAGGTGAGAAGGTTAGGTCACCTTGCCCTCTGACCTGACTACCGACCGTTGCGGTGCTATTTAAAGATTAGTAGGGTCATTACCTAATACCTGACCATTGTGGACCTGATCTCACCCTCCTCTGTATATATACACCTTGGTTTGTACTTCTCTTTAGTCTGTACTCACCCCTGAAGATGTGAATTACACGAAAGCGCTTGGGAACTTAGTGTTTTCTTCTTTCCTTGTGGTTATCAGCATATACAACTGCGATATTGTAAATCTTTGAGTAAATGATCAGAAATACATCTTACAGACACGTCCTGGAGCAGTGCAGGGTTATTTTCCTTCAGTTTTCGAGCTGTGAGTGTTGGATTTTTATCCAACTGCCTCTTTATAACCTTGGAAGTATGATTTTGTATTTTCCTTGGCCTACCAGAGCGAGGCTTGGGGGTAGGAATATCCTCACCTCCGCCGTCTCTAAATTTCTTGATCCACTTTTGAACTTGGCGCACTCCTATTCCCACACGAGTGGCTATATCTTTACACTTATAACCCTCCTTATAGAGGGTTATAATAGCAACAATTGTGTCTCTTCCCAGCTCTTTACCACTTCCCATTACAGAGATATTGAGGCACAAACACAGAAAACGCAAAAAAACGACTAGTCCGCGTGAGAGAAGTTTACACACTGCACCCATGTGCTCACTGAAGCGACTAATCAGAGTTGCCAAGTAGTGCGTATTGTCTCGCCTAAATAGCGGTACAAACCCTAGCATTGAAATATAGCGAAAAGTTTGGGCGGAAATTGGTATTTATCGTATGTTTTGATAATAGCGGAAAGTTTGGGCGCCTGTAATTTTGCGCCCAAACTTTCCGCTACCACTGTAGATCACGCGCACCTACAGTGATTTACTTGCACATATATATATATATATATATATATATATATATATATATATATATATATATATAACGATTTATCTAGATACTGAAGTTGCCTCTATAAGATAAAATTTTTCACTGTGGATCTACATGAAATATATATATATATATATATATATATATATATATATATATATATATATATATATATATATATATATATATATATATATAATAAAAAAACTCATTTGCCTATCAGTATTTATCTTTCCGTCACCTACTATTACCCAAAGATTTCTAATATTGTTTAGAATAATAGTGTGTAAAAATAAGGAAACACAACTACACCCCCCCCCCAACGTAATTAACATACGAATACAAAGGCAGAGAAAGTTTGCATAACCTTGGGTAAAAACAGTATTTTAATAATAGTATTACAATCTTACTTTATTTAATTCCTTCGTTTTATCATCCCTGACGAAAGGAGCACCGAACTCGATGTTGTAGTCCTTCTTGAACAAAGTGTGGTAAAATCTCTTGGAGACAGTTTCTTCGCCAGGATACTGTTCGCTCATCCACACCAGGTAGCTGCTGTGGAGTTCGGCGATGCTGCCCCCGACCTCCAGGTACCGTCTGTGGGGGCTGTGTGCACGGCTGTAATGGCAAGCGAGCACTGGTAGGGCACGAATGTGCTCGTGCACATGTTGCAGGCGGCTCCCTCTGATGGCCTTGGAAGATGGATGATGTCCTCGCTTGTCAAGGATGGGCGTTCCACTTGGGGATTCCTTCAACTTATGCATCAGGACCTCCATCTTCTTCTTGCCAACCCCGTGAATAGAAGTGAAACCTTGGCGGCAGACCTTAAACTCGCGCTGCCGAAGCTTCACAAAAAAATGGTAGTTAAAAGGCCTACGGCTCACTTCAGCTTCAACCCGCCTTCTCTTCACGGGTACTTTCCTGATGAGTGAATGCAGGTAGCCATTCTGGGTGTTATAGTCACCAATTGCCCAGAAATTGGTGAAAATGGTGTTGATCATATCCCTGCCAAGCTTGTCGAAGCAGCCGTCTGGGCAGGGAGGGCCGACCTGCCTCGCCTTGACTACTTTCTTGGTGCTGTAACTTACATACTCCTCACCCAAATTACGCTTACGCTTGGCAACCTCCTGTGCCCACTCATCAACCCTACGCTCTCTCATCCTGCCCTTTTTTTCTATAGGGCCTTGGGGGGTACGCTCCTGACCCCTGCGACCTGCACCACGTGGTGCTCCACCACCACCAACATTCTTAAGTACGTCACCTGTACCATCACCAGTAACACTTGCATCACCACTAAATTCACCACCAAAATCACTCTCACCAAGCATAGCTGGGGTGTTCACGTGAGCACTGTCGTCACTAGACACACGCTCAGGATTTAGGGCTCCTGAACCCACACCAGAAGGGCTGGACTCACTCGAATCTTGCTCTAAAATCGGCAAGACATTGCGTAGCACTTCTCACACCCGGGGAACACGAATGTTATGTCGAAAAGTTATCCAAAATAGCAGTAGAAACACTTAACCACCTTATGCTATGCAGGGGTAAGACTAACAGGGAGGCAGCATCCATGCGCGCGGATTGGCCGAGCTGTGTGTCGCAAGGGAACTCCATTGTGATTGGCTGACTCAGGGGGTATGGTCCACGGGACTCGCGGTCATTGGATCGCGCTCCTCTCTGGGAAAGGGACGTGACCACCTTTACTTACTGAGCGCACAGCCCAGATACGTGGCTCCCGGCCTGAGGCGAAATGACACCCTATTTTTGAAGGAATGTATAGATAGATAGATAGATATTTTATTTGCCACAAATTATGAATACAGAGTTTACACTAAAATTTTACATAAAATGGCCCAAATGCAAATGCTTTAAAACACCAACATTAATAGTTGTGGGTAATGGTGTGTCCCTGTGACTTCTAACTATATACATGAAGTATTCGATGAACTGCACGACAAACAGTTTCATAATCCGTTCTTTCAGCTCGCAAATTTACAAAAGTTGAAATACTATATTGATGGCGTATATCTATTGTTCGGGGGGCACTTTTCAAGAACATGCCATTCAGACTGAATAACACCACAAGAACACAATCTCTCTTCAATGGGCAGACTGCCCTGCCTCGTCTGTTCCAGCGCCCCTCCTGTACAGCGAGGGAATGGCCACTTGCTCTCATTCATGTCCACGATACTCGTTCTAGCTCATTCACCTTTATCTTTGTATTATAGATTGCATGAACATCAAAATTTTGATTGATAGTCTTGTATAATTGTACTCGACTTGAGTCTGAGTTTGACACTTTCTGTTTCAGAGTGTGTAAGGCTGTTTGAACATCATCAATATGATTAAATAAAAGATCGCGTACACGTCATGACGTGGTCGTATTAAAACTTAATACAACATTAATAGTATGGGCAAGAGAATCGTCTACCAATTCATTTCTTCCCGTCCATATCCTCGAAAAAAATTTACGCTGCGTAGCTATTATGAGGGCACGTAACAGAGGAAGTAATCATAACGCAATACAAACGCTGAGAAATATTGGGGAAGCGTTGGCAATAGTGGGCTTCGGGGAGGTGACTTTGGTGGCGGTGACACCCAATGTGGGTGGTGATGATGCAAGCTTAAACTGGTAAAGTAACCGGTAGAGTAACTCTTTAATTAGTTAATTTTCTTAACATTACAGTCCAAATGCTAGTTATTGGGAACAACTAGATGAGGACGCTGATAATAATGAGAATGCCGTAAACTAAGGTAAAGGTGGTAGCGAAGGCGCTAGGTTGGCAGCGCTGGCATTGTGACGTCGGGGTTGGTAGCGCTGGCATTGTGACGTTGGGGCACTGGTAGCACTAGCGCTGCTGTGGTGATAGTGATGGTGGTGATCTTAAAACCTCAATGTGGTGTTTCTATAACCATATAAGGTAATACTAAGGTCGGGATGGGCAGCTTGGAAGGCGACGGCGTTGGTTAGCGTGGTTAGCAACGCTGTGGCGGCGTTGGCTGAGCGAGAGAGCACCGCACACTTGCTTCATGTGACCTCTACACAAAATTTATCTCCTAAACATTTTTTATTTCCCAAGATAATGTTTACTTTCTCTAACAGTTCCTCCTGACAAATATACCTTAAACTACAGTAATTATAAACAAAAAGATAGCATGTTCATTTAGCAAACGTATTTATAACAAAGAACAAAATAAATTACCTTAAAAAGTTTATGCACTTATTTTGCAGGTGGATCAATCAAATCTCATTGATGTTAGCAGATATAATATTAAACTTTCGTAGGTGTGATATTCATCCAATTGGTATACAAGTGGTGTTAATGGTATGTATAGTGACGGTGTGTGTGTGTGGGGGGGGAGGACGGTTGGCGCCCGGTGTGGCTGGCTGGTAGTAGTAGTGTGTGCTGGAGGAAGTTCTACGCGTGCCGCTTTCCAACAACGAATACACAAGATATCCTCACTACGTATATATAATAAAGTTATGATCATTCTATACTTAAAATATTTAATCTCACTTTCGTGTCTTTAGTGTAATCTGTAAATTTTAACATGGTACAGGGGAGTACATTCTGGCGCGAGAGAGATTTGACAACGCCGCCTCCGCCATTGATTCCCGCCATATTTTGCCGGTAAATCGCGCGACCGGGAAAATGCTGCTGTCCCTTTTTCTCTGACAGTATACTTATTTACCTATTGAAAACAGCGATAAACTAAAGAGACTATTATATTAAACAATGATATTGTTTGTAAACACCTGTAATTACGTTAAATTAAGCATTCGGTATAATTTTTGAGCGCCTTTGGAGCCACATGGCCATTTGGCGGGAAGCAGCCATATTGGAAAAGGGGGGGTTAGAGAGTGGGGGGACGAGAGGGAAGGGAAGGGGCGCGCTGGTGGGGGGCGAGCAGTCGATGTCTAGTTTGAATGTACTCCAAATGGGTGAAGAAATTCCGTTATTTTACTCTTCTCAAGATAATTTGTTCTTGCTCTAAATAAATAATGCTTGGGTTTCTGTTAAAGTTTGTGTACAATCCGAACGTTTTTTCAATAAATGTGAAAAACAAGGAACACCAAAATCTTCGTTCACGCTGAAACCTTAGTAGTAGATCAATAGGAGGCTGATCTAGGCAGTTTTTCACATCGATTTGTTCCTTTTCACAATACTACACATAGACGGGGAGGCAGATCAATGATGTGTGTTCCATGAACTGGACATTATACTTTTCTCAGTAGTATTGTTTTTCTCGTTCAATTCAGCAAATTGGAATTTTGAAATAGACAAACGTAAGACAGACACCTGTTTTTTTTTAACACCATAATTGTATTGTCGTGGCAATGGGCATCCCTCAACAGCAAGGATGTAAAAACCATTAATGCACTTTTGAAAGCGAAGATGTCGTTCAGGTACAGTAAGCGATGGTACCGGTCATTCTGGGAAGAAGTCCAGATCGTTAAGTCATTTCCATAGTAGTTGGCGTGGATGTTAACTGTTAAATTTCTGGTACAGCATTCCTTCCACCCAAACTGTTCCTTATATTTGTCTTCTTACAGGTATATATTATCTTGGAATACGTAGCTAATATGTTACTGTGCCTTATTTATTTTGTTTTAAAATTATAATAAATCGGAAACTGATGTACTGTACAGTCACCCAAAAAAGTCCTGTCGCGAACCATGAACCCCGAGATTCAGAATCTTGAATCCGAAGCATTTATGGACAGAATAATGTATCAGTGTCTACTGCTTCGGGTTCACGAGTCTGAATCGTGGTTCGCGACAGGACTTTTTTGGGTGATTGTACAACCTCATCTACAGTATATTAATAATTAGGATACTTATATATGTTTTTTCGTCGAGAGCATTCAGAGTCCCTTAAATGTTTTTAATCCTGTTTACTTATACATATTGAGGTTCCCATTTTCTACTGAAAGTAAAATTCCACGTAGGTCATTTGAAAGAGAAAACTACGATCGAAGGGAAGAAGCGAGGAACAGGAAGGAAGGGTGGGCGGCGCGAGTCTGGTTTAGTGTATCTGAGGATACGAGTATGCGTTTATACAATGTAATGGTATTTACGTGGACACAGTTTCTATTTATGATGAGTTTGTATGAAGCGTGAATACATTTGCATATATTTACGTGCATTCGCTTGGATGTCCCTACCCGTGTGCGTATGCTGTATACTTTGCCACGGTTTTGTTTGTGTACATACAGTACTTGTTTATATAAGTAGACAAGAATAAACAAAAGTTATTAACAAAGTCAGAAAACGCAGTCAATGAAACGATTTTGAAATAAGTTTAAATCTTGAACAAGTTTTCTTTTAGCTTATGACCTTGAATTATAACGGTATTAAAGAAGAGTAAATTCAGTACAGAAAATAGTGTATTAGAAAATGCACATTACACTAAGACGAAAAAGGCACAAAGGCGTATAAACTTTAAATTCTGAGAACACAATTAAAAACAAATATTAAAATTTAGTTCAGTGAGTTTTGATACTTGAAAAATTATTAACTAAGACTGGTGATAGGCATCATCTATGACTAATCATTTACTTTATAATATGGATTGTATAATAATGTCCTGCTCATAAAGACATGGTTATGAAATAATTGATGCATTATGAATAAACCTGCTTATAATACTGAAATTGTTAGCATAAAAAATAGATACGTAATTACCAATAGGTTCTTCGTTGTTAGTGGACCCGCCTCATCCGATAAAAATCTCGAAATTTAGCAGGATCTTGTGTAAGTTCTTTAGCAGCCATATAAGCCCTGCGATCAGCTTTTGTAGTGATGTATGGATGTACCCAAAACTTCCTCCTTTAATTACGATACGCCAATAATACATCCTCCTTGTCTGACGATATTGTTTCAACTAGAAACGTTTTATTCAATCCGGTGGGCGGAGGACAGTGCAGCTAGTTTCATGCAACTGGAAGAGCTCCTTAATTTCTACTTCTCGCCTGGGGTCTACAACGTCTAGTCTACAGAAGTGATAAGGCGTAATTTTCCAATTTTTAAAGAGAAAATCAATCATATTGTTTATGCCATAACTATGTGGTCAGGGAACTCTGTTCGGAAGAGGGAATTTTGAAGATTATAATGTATAAAAAAAACTCTACAGGTCGGAGCGCCTTATATTATTAACACTCACATATGCATCTGTTAACATCCAAGCACATTTGTGTATATCCATCTACTTTAACTTGTGTATTTCATTATCGAAGTGAATAGTGTTGTACTGGATGTACGAATTGTGTTCCAAAATTTGGTAAGTCATGCGTTCAGAACTAGTAAACTCAATTTCTCACTGACACAATATATTTGGTGGTTTGATTCCCAAGTCAGCCAACAAACGCCTATTTAACCCATAATTAGGCTGAAACTTTATTATTATCTGATATAATTAATTGCAAATATACACTGTTGTAATACAATTAATAAAACAAAATATAAAACAATAAATCTGAATAAAAACGTATCTACCTCGAATACTGGCGATGACTTGCATATCGGACCATGGCACTATTTCCTTTTCCCTTTTAACAAATTTGTCCAAATAAGTAAATTTGCCCTTGCCCTAAATCTG